GTTTAAAAATGTTGGTGATGGCTTCGGAACACATTTTAGTGTGTTTAACCTTGTACATTAGGACGCATATGTCTTGAAGACGTCTATTCAACAGTGTTGGCAAGTTAGCCCTATTCAATAACTGATGATAACTGGACTTAGTGTCCTTATACACAGCCCTAAGTCCTCGTTCCTGGATTCTTTCGAGTCTACGAGTATCGCTTGCCCTACAAAAATGCCAAACAAGGTGGCAGTATGTTAAGTATGGCAAGATAGCTGATTTAAAAAGTACTAACTTTGCCGTGGTGGGAATTAGATTTCTCAATCTCATAATTACCCCAACCCTTTGACTAGCTTTGCTACATACGTCGTTGATGTGTTCGTTGAAATTTAACTTATTGTCTATTGTGACTCCCAAGATTTTCAACGCGTCAGATGTCTTGATAATCTTGCCATTTAGGTTCAGGTTAGTGTTATGTTCTGTACAACTGAACTGTTCCTTCTTATGACCATATTTATTTTGAATGAACATAGTCATAGCAGGAGCCCATCATTTGATAGGCTCCTGGTCATGCATAGTCAATAAATGGTTAAAATCAGAAAACAAAGCGACTCGATCAGAGAAGGCTACTGAAATCGGATCCCTAGCTCTGTGTCTTAGGCAGAAAGCAACGCTATGCACTGAAACATGACATACACATTATTGGCTGTGTAATACTCCAAAACCGAAATTGCTAAAGAGAAAATCGAGTTTGGATGTGCTTCTCGCAAGCCTGTGACAGAATAGTATCTAAGGTGAAAAGCACACTAACATTAGCACAAACGGGAAATTGTATAAGTTTGTTCTGTGTCTTCTGTTGTTGTGCGGCAGGTAGACCATATGAATCCAGGACGGATACTTTAGTACTTTATATCCTGTAGTACCAAGTAGCGTAACATAAGCACTCGAAAAAAAAATTGAGCAACCTTTGCCTATAAATTAACCAAATACACCGTTTCACGCACAGCTATGAAGCCCTGCTCTCCACAAAGTTTAAGATAATTTTACCCACAGCATTAAGACGCCGCATGGGAAATAAAACCACTCATCTGTACAGTTTTTTTCAAGTTTAACGCTGTCTTGGCACGCGTTGATTATTTTCGGGATATTTTTTACCGAAACCAAGATGGATTTTGTTTCCTTTAACGATAAACATCTTCAAAGACGACGAAAATTTGTTGCCGAACGTGACTTTCCCATATCAAACTCTTACACTGGTCAGGTTTAATGTCCGAGTCACAGCAGGAAACAGAATATTGTGACGTTATTAGTAGAAAGCGCTATAGTATTCTTGCTCGTTGAGTAGCTCTTTAAAATATACCCGTCCGATTCATGATGATTTTCACACATATTCCATACAATAGGCGAGATAAAACTGAACAGGAAACGCAAGGCTCCATGCACAGTTTCTGTTCGATTTACACAGCTTTGATCAAAACATTCTCAGTTTCGAGAATAGTTTATTCTAAACTGCATAAGATAAGATTTCATTAGAAGTTGAATTTTTCGCTATTTCTCTTTCACTTTTTACATTCAGTTCATTTTATTTGCCGGAAAGTAAGCCTTAGATTGATAAATTCACGCTCGCGCATTCCAGTCTTATTTTAAACTTTATAGCGGAAGGACATCTGTGAGCAGGAAACACGTCAGCACAGAATTTGATTGTCGGCGAATTTCTGTAATCGTCCATCGTTCTGCTATTGATTAGCTCTCCCACAGGCGTTCTTAGGGCCGTTCGCGCGAAAAGCTCCCTGCGGGTTGCCCTGCGGTCAAGGTCAACTTTCCAGAATTTGGAAAGTTCAATGTGATTGGCTAAGCATGGGAAAGGAATGTTGTTTTCCGTTGAGCAGGCGTTTGTGGGGAGGGAAGAAATACGATCTCCCCCAAAAACGCCTGCGGGGGAGGCTAGCTAGTGATCCGCTCGTCTTGCTTGTTTGGGGTAGCCTGCGAAAACATCCGTTTCTCCTCGCTCTTCGCCGCTAGGGACGTTTCGCGCGAAACGTCCCCAGCGGCGAAAAGCGAGGAGAAACGGATATTTTCGCCGGCTATGTTTGGGGTTGAGTCTTATTTCGGTCAGAGAGAGAAAGGGTGTCTGGCAAGCTTTTCTATCAAAGATTTGTGAACTCGTGTCTGGCAAACTCTCCAAGTGTTTATATATATACACAGTTATACACACCTTATAACTTCATCTGCGCTTAACGAGTGTCTTTTGGTCCCTAACTTTCAAAACAACTGCTCCACAGAATGTCACTGATAACACGTAACGCAACTGAGTATCGAAGTATGACTGCATAATAAACTGTCGCAAAATCTACCTGAGGGGTCCCTTCGGGATTTCCTGTCTTTACGTCATCCTAACCATTTCGTACTTGCGGGCGCAAACAATAGAAACATCATCATTACCTACCGATTCCTCGAGGCCCCTGTTCAAGCAAATCGAGATATTTTGTGGCATACTGACTGTATGTTTCAAATGTAAGTATTTTCGTTAATATACGCGCGAGTTACTACGGTGTCTCCTCGGGATTTCGCCTTCTGGGCGAAATCCCTGCGGGGGCAACAAACGCAGGGCACGCTTCTCTATCCATCCTCCTGCTACGGAGGAGAAACTATTTTTCAAATTCGCCGATTTTTTCCAGAGATGGC